TAACTAGTTCTTTGGGGTCAAGTTGTGTTTTTTTGATGAGAGGCTTAATAACAGCCAGTTTGAAGGTTTTGGGGACATATCCTAATGACAATGATGAATTAATAATAGTCAGAAGAGGATCTATGACTTCTGGAAGCACCTCTTTTTGGGTTTGGAAGAACCCAGGTCAACAAGAGGCAACAAGTATTTCCTCACAGTCGTGTGCCAGTTCACAAAGGGGGTAGAATGCTTCCCAGCACCCAATGACACTGCTCAAACTATAGCATACCTCCTGATGAATCACATCTTCTCCAGGTCCGGGCTGCCACTGCATTAAATAACTGGTGCTCATAGAGCCGCGTCATAGAGAGCCACTGTTCATCTGACATAGAGACCATGACAGTCATATTTAGACCCTTTTATCTGCCACGAGAGCTAACAGTGGTTGTTATTACTGCTGTTTACATTCCACCTAATGCTAACATTAGCACAGCTCTCACCTATTTGCACAGTATCATTAGTAAACACCAGAGGGCCTATCCGGATGGAGTTCATATCATAGCTGGTGACTTCAACCAGGCTTGTTTAAAAATGCGCCACCAGAGGAAGTAACACACTTGATCGTGTGTATTCTAATATCAAGCATGGCTATAGAGCTGTGCCTCTCCCGCATCTGGGTCTATCTGACCATGTCTCACTGTTCCTTGTACCAGCCTATTACTACTAAAACCATCAAAACCTGGCCTGAGGGAGCACTATTCCAACTACAAGACTGTTTTGCTAGGACTAAATGGGACTTATTTAAACACCAGGATGTGGCAGAATATACACAAACTGTTCTGTTCTACATTGCCAGCTATACTGACATCGTCACTTAGGAGAAGTGCATCCGGGTTTTTCCGAACCAGAAACCCTGGATGAGCCAGAAGTCTATACTCTCCTCAGAGACCGTGATATGGCCTTCAAATCAGGTGACAGGACTATTTACAGTGTTGTGAGAGCTAAACTAAAAAGAGGCATCAAAAATGTTAAGCTGGCCTACAAGAGGAAGAAAGAGGAACATTTTACTGGCAACAACACAAGGCGGGTGTGGCAGGGAGTGCAGCACATTACGAACTTCAAGGGCAGCGCCACCACTGGCTGTAACACCACCGCATCACTGGCAGAGGAGTTAAACTGTTTCTTTGCGTTTTGAAATGAAGTCTCCACTCCTACATACATCTCCTCCTGTTTCAGGCACGCAGACACTGACTGTACAGGAATATGAGGTGAGACAGGTGTTCAGGTCAGTAAATCCAAAAGGTCTACAGAGGATGCTATTGCCACAGAACTCCACAAAGCTTTGGAGCATCTGGAACACAGAGGTACATACGTCAGGATGCTCTTCATCGATTATAGTTCTGCGTTCAATAGCATCATACTGGACATTCTTATCAGGAAACTCCTTCACCTGGGCTTTTCTGCTCACCTTTGTACCTGGATTATGGACTTTCTCACTAACCGCCCTCAGTGTGTAAAGCTCGGTCTTCACCGTTCCTCCACTCTCACTCTCAGCACCAGTTCACCACAGGGATGTGTGCTGAACCCACTACTCTATTGCCTTTATACCTATGACTGCACCTCCACATACTCCTCCAGTCACATTATAAAATTTGCTGATGACACCACAGTGATTGGACTCATTTCTGGACGTGATGAATCTGCCTATCGTGACGAGGTCAGGAAATTGACGTTTTGGTGGTCTGAAAACCAACCTGGTTGTTTGAAACTCTTCGGGTTAAAGAACTCTTCGTGGACTTCAGGAAGTGCAAAGCTGACCCCCTTCCCATCATTATAAATGGAGACTATGTGGAAAGAGTTTGCAGTTTAAAATTTCTGGGAATCTATTTATCTGACAGTCTCTCCTGGTCCACAAATACAACAGTGGCTGTTAAAAAGGCACAGCAGCGTCTGCACTTCCTGCGAGTCCTAAAGAAAAACCGTCTGTGTCAAAAACTACTGGTGGCATTCTACCGCTCTGCCATAGAGAGTGTTTTAACATACTGTCTTACGGTGTGGTATGGGGGCTGTTCAGGAGCTGATAAAAAAGCTCTACAGAGGGTCATAAAGACTGCGCAGAATATCACTGGCTGCCCTCTCCCCTTACTACAGGACATTGCAAACACTTGGTACGCAGAGCAAAAAAACATTGTTAAGGATTCCTCTCACCCCGGTCATCATCTGTTTTCCCTCCTACCTTCAGGAAGGCGATACAGGTCAATCAAAACACACACGGCCAGATTTTCAAATAGTTTTAATCCAAAAGCCATTCAGTCCCTGAACTAAGGGATGCGTTGCACTATTTATTTATGTTCATTCTTGTGGACTGTGCACTAATTTCTGTACTTAGAACTGCACTTTATTGTCTTACCTGTATCATTCATGTTTTTTACATGGATTTTGCTTACGTCATTGTGGTCTATGTGTATGTAGTTATCATATTGTAGCACCTCTGTGTGTAGTGTCTGAAATGTCATTGTATTCCGATGCAATGACAATAAAAGCTTGAAATTTAATTGAAATTGAAAAACAAATACACTGTTAGAGCAACCAAAGAAAAGCTAACACAAGAAGCACGAGGACAAAGATTCCAACTAAAGCAAACACTGCCCAGCACAATGGTGACTTCAAATTAAACAAATATCAACATCTAAACATCGATTAATTCTCAATAAGAGCTTCTCTAGATGTCTGACAGAAATAAAGTCAATCTAATGATTGAAGCTGGTGATGCTGTTTGTGGAGTTGTTTAATCATCCTCTGATGAGATCTTCAGAGATGTAATGTGTTTGACTTGCAGTTGACTTTACCAAATGCTCAATCATCAGTTATTTGATCATTTAATTATCTCATAAACTTCAACACTGTTTCAGTGAAGATTCTTTTATTTTCTTGAGTTTTGGATAAACAGTGTCTGTGAGTTGCTTTGCAATTACAAAACAGAAGTCAAGGGTCAAGAGCCCAACTAAAGCAAACACTGATCTCCATGATGGTGCCATAATTTTAACCAATAAAACATCAACATCTGATCCTCTGTAATTCTCAATAACAGCAGGTGTTCATCACTAATGCACAATAACTTGTAAAACACAGCTTTTCAAGTTGAAACAAATAATATCTTTAAGTTGAGTTTACTCACATTTTTAAGGCAGCAGGTGAACTTTTGTTTCTAAGTTTAACCAACTTGAAATGTTTTACAGTGTGCACATACAGTATAATTACAGTACAGTACCAGTACATTAGATAATGGAAATTTAACAATTCTATATGTACAGTAGCACATGTTGTACACCTTCAAGCGTGTGACTGTCAAATTTTATTTGTAACCATTTTTATGTGTACTGCATTTTTGCAGAACTGAGAAATGACTGCCTAGAGATATAGCTAGTCTTGTGTCAGGAG